TATCGAAAGATTAGATAGTGGGAATGAGAGACTGTAATTTCACCTGAGCAATTGTCAGAATGCAACTTCCATTTATTGAGATGAGGAAAGTCTGAGAGGTTAGGCTTTTTTTGGGAGGGGTGTATGTGTGTTAAATTTTGAACATGGTAAACTTGAAATGCCTGTTACACATCCATGTAGAGAGTCTCCTCCCTTGCCCCCATTTCCATCTAGTCGATAGAGTAGGCAGTAGGATATGGAAGAGTCTGGTTTTAGTGTTTAAGGTATTCAGCTGCTAACGGAAAGGTTGGTGGTTCCAACCCACCAGCCCTCCTCCTTCTGTCAGTATTTACAGACTTGGTAACCCTATGAGGCAGTTCTACTCTGTCCCAAAGGGTCACTATGAGTCGGAATTGACAGGATGGCAGTGGGTTTGGTTTTGGCTTGGTGTTTAAGGAAGAGGTTCAGACTGGAAAGAAGATGGGTCATTTGTTTTTTCACAAATATTTAATGAAATTGAACTTTGTTCCAGGCCCTGTTTTAGGGTCTGGAGATAGATACCTGTAAAAATACCAACAAGCTCCTTAGGAGCTCACTTAATGGTGAGACAAATCATAAGACAAAACCAAAATATCCCAAACTCACTGCCTGGATTCCAGTTGATTCCCACTCACAGCAACCCCCTTTGGGTTTCCCTGGCAGTAAATCTTTATGGAAGTAGATTGCCCAGTCTTCCTTTCACAAAGCAACTGGTGGGTTTGAACTACCAACCTTCTGGTTAGCAGTCAAATGCCTTGTTGTTGTTATGTGCTGTTGAATCGGCCTGACTCATAGTGAGCCCTCTTTGGGCTTCCAAGGCAGTATCACTAGGGATACTTCTATTGATTGCCCAACCTTCCTTCCCGGGAGTGGCTGGTGGGTTTGAACCGCCAGCCTTCTGATAAGCAGTTAAATGCCTTAGGCACTATGCTATCAGAGCTCATAATGCCTGAGGCCTGCCTACAAATAGGCAATTAAGTGAGATAATGTATATAAAGTCTTTATTTCTCGAACTGGGGAACAATAAACACTCAGTGTAAAATTGCTATTGATATTTTCAATATTTGAAGTCTTACAGGCGCCAGGACGCTACCTAGCAGAGCACCCACTTCCCAACGCTAGGCTGTTGGGGAACCTCACCGCAGTGCGGAATAAGTTTCTAGCGCAGCGGCATAGTAACATTGCGCAGGCGCGGCCTCAGTCCGGCGTCCTAGGAGACTGACCAGAAAAGCTTTCGCGCAGGCGTATTCAAGAAGCCGAGGGAGCCAGGGGATGGGGCGGGACAAAGTGGAGTGCGCCTGCGCATCGTGCGGTCTTGGCCAAGTATCCGCAGTCTGGGTAGTGCCAAGGAGGTGATTCGGTATTCTCTGCCTGGCTTCTACCCCTAACCCGGCGTCATTGTGCTGCACCGAGGGCGGGACAACCGCCGGGCAGGAGAGGGGAGCACGATGCCGGTGAGGAGAGTCGTTCAGCCGCTCGGATTCCTTCTCATCCTAGCGGCCTGGTCCGGGGGCGCGGCCGTTGCCATGGAGGCGCGGAGCAGGCGGGCCGGCGGGCGGCGGGGTGGGGCGGGGCAGGGCCAGGCCTGCCGGCTCGCGTGGTTGGGGAGAATGGCTGATCGGTCAGGATACCAAGGGAGTCCAGTTGGCCCGGGGAGGGGTCCGGGGTAGGCTTTGCCACCTTTGTCGTTGCTGCATTCCGAGGGGCCTCCGCGGCTTGGCGTAAAGGCGGTGTGCCGGAGGATGCGCTCTATTTAGGTCCCAGCCCTGCCGGCTGGGAAGGACATGGGGGTGGTGAGCAGCGGCCGCGGAAGGACTGCTTTGGACCCTCATCCCATGTGACCTTTGCGCTGCAGAAGCAAACTCTGGAAGGCGTCAAAGCGAATGCTGCCTGCCCCTAATCCGGGCCCCTGACTCGGACTCTCCTAGGCCCAAGCTGTCATTCCTCTTGCGCTTTAGTTTACAGTGCCGAATGTAACGCGTAGGTGTCTATGTGTGTTTGTGGGGGTGGGAGGAAAGCATGTTTATTTAGTAGGATTTCACAGATTGTTATCGTGCACCCAAAGAAACCAAAAAATCAAACCCACTGCAGTCGAGTCAATTCCGACTCATACCGACCCTATGGGACACAGTAGTACTGCCCCATAGGGATTCCAACTCTGTTAATCTTTATGGAACCAGACTGACTCATCTTTCTCCTGTGGAGCTTCTGGTGGGCTCGAACCACCACTCTTTTGGTTAGCAACGCAATGCTTTCACCACAGTACCACCAGAAGGTAATAAGAAAAACCAAAAACCAAACTCACTGTTGTCGAGCAGGATCCGAATCATAGCGGCCCCTTCTTGGGTTTCCAAGGCGGTATCCCTGTGGAAGAGATTGCGCAATCTTCCTTCTGAGAACGTAATAAGGGGACATTGTAAATCCAGTACACAGTCATGAAGAAAACTTGAGCTGTGGCTGGTTATTTCCTGGTTGTGAGACTTTGGACAGTTATTTAATCTGTATTTTTCCCCATATTTAAACTTTTATTCCTGGGTTGTTATAATGATGACATAAAACCATACAAATAAAACTTAAAGGGTAGTGCTTAATATTTAGCATCAAGTGCTCAAATCAATATTTGCTTCTTGTTACTGCTTTCAAGTTACTGTATCGTTCTACATATATTGGGCACCAGCCACATGCTAGGCACTGGAGATAGAAGAGTGAGCAAAACAAGCCAGGTTCTTGAACTTGGAAAGAGGGAATCCGCCTTTTTAAGTAGAGGTAAAAACCAGACAAGGCATTTAGCATCAATAAATGAAGTAAGTGGGTGACACACAATGCACTGAAGTAGGTTCTGGGAATTGGAAAGTGTTGCCATGTAGGAAGGCTGGTCTAGAGATGTCAGATCATCCATTTTTTCAAGAGAAACCTAGAAATGATAGTTTTTCTGAAAAATTTTCAAATGTTGAAATCTTAACAACTAAGAGAAACATCTCTTAAATGCTTTGAGCCAAACAACAGACATTTGTGGACTTAATTCAGCCCTTTGATTACTCATTTTGCAACCTGTGATCTAGAGGGAAAGACAGACAGACACTAATCAAAAAAGGAGCACATAAAAGTAAAATTGTAACAGGGTTAAGTGTTGATGAAGGAGAGGAAGAAAGTGCTTGAGAATCTGTAACAGAGGGTTTGACAGGGAAGCCTTCTTAGAAGTGGCTATTGAACTGAAATCTGAAGTATTAGCAGATATTAGCTCCGTGAGGAGAGTTAGGAATGCTCTAGGCAGAAGAAACAGCACATGGAAAGGCCTGTGATAAGGAACATGGTAAATAGAAAAGGCCTAAAAAGGGCCAATGGCTGTGGCTGTGAGAGCCAAGCAGGGTGTCTTGTGAGTAAGGCTGGGTGAGGTAGCCATGGACTTGAGCCAGATTTTACAACTTCCTTAAGGACTTTGACTTTTATCCTAAGATCTGTGAGAAACTATTGAAGAGGTATTCAGATAGTGGAATGACATAGTTAGATCTGTGTTGATTGACTGCTATGTGGGGAACGTAACATACCCACTGCCATTGGATCAATTCTCATTCCTAGCAACTCTCTAGAGTGGAACTGCCTCATAAGGTTTCCAAGGCAGTAAATCTTTACAGAAGCAGACTGCCTCATCTTCTCCCACAGAGTGGCTGTGGGTTTGAACAACCAGCCTTTTGGTTAGCAGGTGAAGGCTTTAACCACTATACCATCAGAACTCCTTTTAGAACATACTGTAGGAGAACCTAATTAAATGTAAAGTTGGTACAGTGGTTAAGAGCTCAGCTACTTACCAGGTTTGGTGGTTTGAACACATCAGCTGCTTTGAAGGAGAAAGATGTGACAATCTACTTTGGTGAAGATTTACACCATTGGAAACCCTGTGGGACATTTCTACTCTGTCCTGTAAGGTCACTGTGTATCAGAATCAACTCGATGGTTTGATTTTGGTTTAATTTAAAGTAGGAGTACATTACAGTTATTACAGTAATCCAGAGTTGAGATAATGGTGATCTAGACTAGGATGGTAAAGGTAGATAGAGAGAAGTGTATTGATATAATATGTTACTTGTCAATAGTAATATCAGGGTCAGTGATATTGACATATTTGTTGCTCTGATAATTAGAAGAGTATCTAAAATGGTAGGAGTTTAACAAGAAACTGTTGAACTTTTGCAATTGAATAATGGATTTGTCTTTTAATGTAGAGTCTTAATTTTATCCAATTTCAAATTTGAAACTTTACATATGTAAAATATTCATATTTATAATATTGACATTTTTTCTCTGCCACTTTACTTTTCTGCCTTCACTTTATTATTGTCTTCCTAGAGAAGGAATTTATGGATATATTATATGATGAAAAGCACTTACTCATGCATTGTAGAAAATAAAACTGAAGTCTCAGAGAATATAGCATCTGCTGTATTCTTGAATTAAAATTGTTAACCATTTCACATTTTCCTACAGGCAGGAAAGTCAGATAATGTTGGACTTCAGTGCAGAAAGACAAGCTATAATATATTGGCCAATTTTCTTTTGAATAGAATCTGTGACATATGTAAATTAGATTTTCTTTCCCCTTTTGTATTGTAAAAGAAGTCATTTTTCTTTTCTTATTGTTTAATAATCTTTTTCTCTGGTGGTGTACTGGTTAAAGCTGCTAACCAAAAGGTTGGTGGTTCAAACCCACCATCCAGTCTGTGGAAGAAAGATGAGACAGCCTTGGAAACCCAGTGGATATATCACTGTGAGTCAAAATCGACTCAATGGCAGTGAATTTGGAGGTTTTTTTTTTTTTATATGTCCGTAAGATCTTTAATTGCATTTAACAAATATTGATGGAATCTTTAATATGTGTAAGGCATGGAGATGGCAAAATAGCCCTTTTGAAATTATAAATTTAATCTGTTGACCATAAAACAAAGTATTCTTTTGTGTTATTTTTATTTCTACACCAGATCAACAAATCAGAGAAGCCAGAAAGCTGTGATAATGTGAAGGTCGTTGTTAGGTGCCGGCCTCTTAATGAGAGAGAGAAATCAATGTGCTACAAGCAGGCAGTCAGTGTGGATGAGATGAGGGGAACTATCACTGTACATAAGACTGATTCTTTCAACGAACCTCCAAAGACATTCACTTTTGATACAGTTTTTGGACCAGAGAGTAAACAACTTGATGTTTATAACTTAACTGCAAGGCCTATTATTGATTCGGTTCTTGAAGGCTACAATGGTAAGTGACTAATTTACATAGTTTACTTTATTTAAAACAGCTTTATCTAAGTATAATTAACACCTATAAATTCACCCATTGTAAATGAAGAGTTTGATGCATTGTAATATATAGTTGTAAAACCATCACCACAATCTAGTTTGAGAACATTTTCATCACTCCACAAAGGTCCCCCACCCCATACAACTGTTGTTCTACTTTCTGTTAGTTTTGCCTTTTCTTGAAATTTCATGTATATCACATATAATGTGTAGTATTTTGTGTTTTCTTTCACTTAGCACAATGTTTTTGAGATTCATCCATGTTGTTTAATATATAGAAGTTAATTTTTATTGCTGAGTCTCACTCTGTGAATGGATATACTACACTTTATCTATTCAGCAGTTGATAGAAATTTGGATTATTTCAACTTTTTGGCTATTATGAATGATACCACTATGAATGTTCATCTATAAATCTTTGTGCAATGTATTTTAACATTTTCTTGGGTAGATACCTAGGGTTGGAATTGCTGAATCATGTGGTAAATATGTTTATCTTTTGAAGAAACCACAGAAATCATTTTCCAAAGTTGTGATAATACCACTTTACCTTTCTATCAACATAGGGTTCCAATATCTTCACTTTCTTACCAACACTTGTATTTTCAGTCTTTTTGGTTATAGCTATTTTAAAGGATCTCTAATTGTATCTCATTGTGTTTTAACTTGCATTTCCCTAATGATTAATAATGTTGAGCATCTTTTAATTATTAATAAGCCATTTGTATATCTTCCTTGGTGACCGAAAACAAACTCACTGCCGTTGGATTGGATCTGACTCACAATGACCCCTCCTCTTTCTGAGGCGGTATCTCTGTGGAAATAGATTGCCCAGTCTTCTTTCCGAGGAGTGGCTGGTGGGTTTGGGCCACCAGCCTTCTGGTTAGCAGTCAAATGCCTTAGGCACTACACCACCAGAGCTCCCTTCCCTGGTGAAATGGCTCTTACTGGCCCGGGGAGGCCAATAAGATTCAAGTGGTTAATCAGATACATGATTTATAGATATTTCTCCCAGTCTGTGGCTTTTCTTCTCATATTTTTAATCGTGTTTTTTTTTCCAAAGAGGAAAAGTTCTTAATTTTGGTGACATTCAGTTTATCAGGGTTTATTTACTTATTTTATGGATTATACTTTTGGTGCCATATTATGTGCTGTTGAGTCAGACCTGACTCATAGCAACCCCTCCTTAGGTTTCCGAGACGGTATCGCTGCGGAAGTAGATTGCCCAACCTTCTTTCCGAGGAGTGGCTGGTGGGTTTGAACCATCAGCCTTCTGGTTAGCAGTCAAGTGCCTTAGGCACTATGCTACCAGAGCTCCTTTTGGTGTCATAGCAAAGAAAAATTTGCCAATGCCAAGGTCACCAAGATTTTCTACTGTTTTATTCTACCAAAATTTTCTACTGTTACATTCTAAAAGTTGTTTAATTTTAGTTTGTACATTTAGGTCTATAATCATTTTGACTTAATTTTTATGTGTGATGTGAGGTAAGGGTCTAAGTTATTTTCTTTCTTTTGCCTATGGATGTTTCAGTGCCATTTGTTAAGAAGATTATCATTTCCCTATTGAATTGCCCTGGTACTTTTTTACTTTTGTAAAATATCATTTGGCTGCAAGCATATAGGGTTATTTCTGGAATCTGTTCCAAGTCTATTCTATTTTCATTCACATAGTTTTATAATATATTTTGAAATCAGGTAGTGTATGTTCTTTAACTTTGTAATTCTTTTTCAAACTTGTTTTGTTTGGAGATAGAAATACCATGTTGTTGTTATGTGCCGTTGAGTCGGACCCGACTCATAGCGACCCCTCCTTGGGTTTCCGAGGCAATATCACTATGGAAGTAGATTGCAATTCCACTGCTAGTTGTATGTCCTAGATTAATAAGAGCTGTGATATGAACAGATGTATGGACACCCATATTCATTGCAGCATTATTCATAATAGCAAAAAGATGGAAACAACCTAAGTGCCTGTGAATGGATGAATGGATAAACAAATTATGTTACATACACACAATGAAATACTAGGTAACATTAAAGAATAATGATGAATCTGTAAAATACCTCATAAGGTGGGTGAACATAGAGAATATTATACTGAGTGAAATTATTCAATTACAAAAGGACAAATACTGTGTGAGACTGCTACTGTAAAAAGTCAAGAAAAGATTTACACAAAAAAGAAACATTCTTTGAAGGTTACCAGGGGTGGAAGGGGAAGAGAGGATGTTACCACTAACTAGAAGGTAGACATGTATTTAACTTGAGTTAAAAGAAAGGCAATATGCAGTAAGGGAGAGGTTAGCACAAAATGATCCAGGCATTGTAAGACCTAAGAAGGAGCACAGGAGTTAAAGGCAACAAAGGTGAATACTGTTATTACAATCCTGTAATAACAGTAATCTACAAGTGGATATATAGACACTCAAGCTGAACGTGAGTGGGATTGTGAACTAGGACTACACCCAAGAATATATATAGGTTCGACAGAGGATGTCTCTACCTATGTATCTATTTGTGCTGCAAGTATATCCATGAATGTAGTAGAGCATATGGGAGCTAATGTTATGAAAACTTCTTAGTCATAAGCAAACACCTGGAAGGAATGAGGTGCTGGGCATAGGGGCTCATGACCATAGATAGACTTTGGGGATACTAAAGTCAATTGGCCTAACATAGCTCACAAAGACAGTGTTATACATCCTACTTTGGTGAGTAGCGAATGGGGTCTTAAAAGTTTGTGAGCAGGCATCTAAGGTACAAACTATTGGTCTCTTTCTGCCTGAAGCAAAGAAGAGTGAAGAAAATCAGAAATGTAAGGGGCCAGTTAATACAAAGCTAATGGAGCTCATGGACCCCAGACTCCATGACCCTGAGACCAGAAGAACTAAGTGGTGCCCTGCTACCACTGCTGATCTCTCTGAAAGAGATCACAATAGAAGATCTGCATAAAAGTGGGAGAAAAATGTGGAACAAAACTCAAAAGCATAAGAAAGATCAGTCTTACTGGTCTGATGAAGACTGGTGGAACTCCTGATACTATGGCCCTTTGACACCATGCAAGCTGGGAACTGAACTCAACTCCTGTGGCTCAACTTTCAGCCAAATAATAGACAGGCCTATAAGGGGAACAGTGATACCAGGAAGGTATGCACTCATGAGAACAATCAAACATATGAGATCAAATGGGCAGCATTTGCCCAGGGATAAAACTAAGAAGGCAGGAAGGGATAGGAAAGAAGCATGAAGGGAAATGGTAAACAGTGGGAGGAAGTGGGAAGAGTGTTGTTACCTTGTGGGACTACATTGAATGTCAAAATGTATATGAATGGTTGAATGGAAAACCAGTTTGCTCTGCAAACTTAACTCACACATACACAAATGAAAATTGTTTTGGCTATCCTAGGTCCTTAGCATTTCCATACAAATTTTAGAATTAACTTGTCAATCTATAAAAAAGCCTGCTTGGATTTTGATACTGATTGTGTTAAAACTATAGATCAGTTTTGGGAAAGTTGTCATTCTGGCAGTATTGAGTCTTCCAGTACATGACCTTGATACAGTTCTCCATTTATTTATGTCTTCTATAATTTGGCTCATGAGTATTTTGTAGTTTTTAGTGTACTGGTCGTGTATTTCTTTTTTATT